TCTTTCCCTTGCATCATCAGTAGATAGTAAGTTGCAGATTGTGCACCTTCAAGTTGACCCTGGAACTGGAATTGGCCAGTTTCATCCTCCAAGAGCCAAGGTTTATTCTTGTACTTGTCCTATTTGACACAGTTTTTATATGACTAAATGAGGAGCCCAACCAAAAAAAATATTATCCACGTAAAATGGATCAAAAGAGACATCTTAAGTTCAAACGGAAAACAGTGAAAAGCACATAGCAAAAAGGTATAGATGTTCAACAAATCTAGGTGTAGTAGCCTGACATTTAGTATCCAGCAGCTTAGATATTCAGCTGGTAGATTACATTTTCTTATATAAGTTTCACATTTCACTAAAATTCAAGACGGCAAAATGCAAAACTAAACTTGATTAGATACTTGGCATTCGAACTAGTACAACCATAATTCCAACTCTTGGCATTCCAGTCTCTAAAAGCTACAAAAGACATATTAAAAAAAAAAGAGAGAGAAAAAAAAAAGAAAAGGAATAGCAGCGAGTACTAAGTAGGAGAATCAGTACCCGAAGGGCGTCAGTAATTTGGCGTCCTTGCAATCCATCTTTTTGGAAAGACCATCTGTTTTCAGCATTTTTCTTCCTTGAGAAATTTGGCAAGCCCGTCACAAATCTACCAATGAAGTAGTTCTTGTCATTGGTAGTACTCGCACGGACATTATATTCCTGGCATGAAAACGACCAAGGAATCAATAATTCTGCGGCCTCAAAAGAAGAGTAAGAAAGTAAACACATCACGACCACGTTAGATAGAAAAGGATTTAAGATATCTTCTGATGATAAAAGGTTTAATTATTTTCCTCAATTCCAAAACAAGCATCTATACGTACGAAATTCCTTTCAGCAAACTACAAACCAAACAATAGTCCCTAAACAAAAGAAATAAATTATGTATAACATCAAATAGCAGTTTTTGCACGATCAATACTCAAATTAGGAAAACAGAGGAAGAAGAGTGAGAAACCGAACTCGGATTAAGCGAGTGACAGTGGCGCCACAGTCGTAGCACTTGGCATGGTTCTCAGCCATGGTTTTCCCGCAGGTCAAGCACAGAGTCATGTGCTTGCAATTGCTTCCGTACAAATCCGAGGCCGAACCACATCCACTGCACGACGGCTTCAGTATCAGATCCATCGACATTTTCCCTCACTCTGAGCAAGACAAAACGTTCGCCAAACAAACAGGCAAAAAAGAGATTCAGATAAACTCTAGGTTTTCACTTTCAAATCAGTGAGAAATTCCAGTAACTTTCTCGAGAAATTCAGACGAGTCCTTACCTCTTGATTCTCGAACGGAGCTGAGTAAGCCGATGAAGATGAAAGCGAGAGAACTTTTTTAAGCTGCGAAATAGCAGCCGGTGCGATTGATGTTCAGAGGCGCTGAGCTCTCTCTCTCTCTCTCTGGTCGAGACTTATGCTTGTAGACGTTCGAAGCGATTCGGAAATCGGAAATCGATTTTGCTTGAATTTGAAAGATGATTTTAGGGTTCTTCGTCTTGAGGTCGGAGATGATCGGTGGATGGAGGGAATATATATCTATTCCATAACAATATAAGAATAACAATGCGTTTGCTATTGACACGGACACAATTGCATTATTTAAACATTGATCTTTCTATTTGGTCGTTTTGTGGGTTTTTCTTTGTTTTTTTTTTTTTTTTTTTTCCTTTCCATCTTCTCTTTTCCTTTTATTTTGTTCCCCTAAAATTTTGTATTTTTAGTCCTTTCTCTTACTTTTAACATTTCTTTTTTCATTTATCCAAATTAATTTTTTATGGAAGTTATCCAACTTAAATATTTATTTCTCGTAGTGTCTTAAAACGCATTTACTTCTTCACTTTAATCATTTTTTACCCTTTCTTTATTTTTATCCTCAAATTTAATTTTCTTTCATTTTAGTTCTTTTTGGCATAAATTTTATTTATTTTATTTATTTTTGGTTTTTTACCCTTTTTTATTTTTTATTTTGATTACTTTTATCTTAAAACTTTTTTATTTATTTGTTTTGGTTCATTTTATCTAAGGTTTATTTATTCTTTTTTGGCCTTTTCTTATCCCTTTTTATTTTTTCCTAAAATTTTAAATTTTTTCCGTTTTGATATTTTTTACCTTAAAATTTATTTATTTCTTCATTTTTGTCATTTTTTACCCAGTTTTAAATTTTTGCCCTGAATATTGTATCCCCCATTTTGATCTCTTCCGCTACAAAACTTATTTATTTTTTTATTTTCTCTTCTTTTACCCCTTTTTTGACTTTTTACCCTATATTTTTTTCATTTTGATTCTTTTTTCAAATTTATTTTTAGATGTTATTTATTTTTACCAATAATACGGTAATTAAAACTTAATATATAATTACTCCTCATATGCATAACACGCCTAATTCAACTAGTAATATATTATAAAGTAGAGTTTCCTTTTAGGTTCTATTCAAATATTTGGTCCATCTATTTTGTCTTCTTGTGTTTTTTATCTTCTTTTTCTTCACTATCATCTATATTAAACCATTGATTATGCTTAGCAACTTCTCTTTTATATACCCAAAAAAAAAAACTTCTTTATATATAATAATAGTATACAGAGTTCCCTTTTATTATTCAAAAACATGATCTCTTTATTTTGTCTTCATGTGCTTCTTTTTTTTTTATTCTTTTTATATCTCTTGAAAGTTTAAAAATATTAATTTAGTGAATAAGACTCAATAAAATTGTCATAAATTCTTTTATCATTTTTTTTTGGTTTATTTCTTTTCTCTCTGACATTGATTTCCCTTATAAAATTCTTTCTATTCTTGTGTCACATATCAATCTAATTAATATAAAATATTTATTTTAGAACTTTAATGTATAAAATTACCACGTCACATGATATAATAAATTACAGTTTAAACGTTAATTCATATTTTTCTCTACTTAAAATAATTCGTTACTTTGTTAGTATCTATTCTTGATGAAATATTAAGAATTTATTTTCAAAATAAACCTGATTAGAAGATCAAAACTAATAAATATTTATCATATCTTAAAAATACATAATATTATCCAACGCCTAACCTACACAATGCGAAGCACGTGAATTAAACTTGTGTGTGTGAATGGACGGTTTGGAGGATAAATGAGAAATAGCCGGCTTCTTATACTAGAGATAATTGCAAACCTTCATACATGAGTTGAAATTTCATAAAATTTTTAGAATATTATAAATATAATAAAAATAACATAGTTATTATTATAATAATGTCATATTTGTACTATATAATGATATAATCATTATTATAGTGATATCAAAATTTTACTATTCTTTTAATATTTTAAAAAAAATTTACATTTAAACTCTACTATTGAAATTTTCTCATGTGTGTAAAGAGTCCTACGAACTAATTTATGTCACGTTCATTTCACCGATTTGAGTTTTATTACAGTAAAAAACTATAATAAATAGTCACATCTAAGTTTTTTACTATAGTAAAAAACTCTTACATAAAATCACATGTCAACTTAAATTAAAAACTCGATTCAGCGAATTAAACGGGTCCTTAGCTAGTATACTTTTAAAGTCCAATTAGTCGCACATATTTTTATGAGTAAAATTAGGCTTATATGTATCACATAAATAGCGTTTCAAATACTAACGTTCTAAAGTCAAAATTTTCTAATTCGCCCTAATTCTTGTATGAACTCGTATTTTCAAGTTCCAACTATCAGTGATGAGAATAGGAGGGACCAAAGTCCAAACCAGGTTGGGGAATGCTTTCCTTGATCCATATCCTAGCAACCCATAAGGCGACCTCTTCCTGTTTTTTTTTTTGGTGAATTATATAAACAAAAAAAAAAAGAAGTTGCCAATTGTAACAACAATATTTGATATATAAAAGGTGAAGATGAAGAAGACAAAAAATGCAAGAAGACAAAATAGAAGGACCAAATTTTTGAATTGTACCTAAAGAGAAACTCTACTTTATAATATAATACTAGATTAATCATTTTTCTAAAAGAAATAGGGTTTCAGAGATGCATAAAAGAAAGAATTATTGAGTAAATTAGGTGTACCACGTTATTTTATTTATGTGATACATTTATTTAATAAAATTATACTAATTAATAATTTTGTCTACAACAGTTTTTTGTACTTTTTTTTTTTTTTGAATGTGCATTGCATTGACTGTTTATGAGAAATTTATCATAAAGTATAGAATATGATAAATTTAACACAATAAATAATATTTTATTAGAGAATATTTTATAACATTGACTGTTTATGAGAAATGTTATATTTACAATTGACAATTTAATTATAGCAATACATTTGAAATGCTTTTAGATGTCCGGTTATTTAACCTGGTGATTTTAAAAAAAAATTATTTAACCTGCCATTCATTTAAGTTTTTTTTTAATTGTTTTTAAAGCAACCGGTAGTGGGACATTTGGTTTATGGGTTTAGAATCATGATTCGTGATTCTAATTTTTAAAATTTAAAATTTTTTATGAAAGAAAAACACTATAGAAAAATAAGAACAATGATTCAGAATTAGGAACGAATCCATAAATCTTATAGATGTCCAGTTGCAAATTTTGCGGCCTCGTTCACTTCGCAGATTCGAGTTTTTAATTTGAGCTGAGATGTGACATTTTTTAAGAATTTTTTACTGTAAAAACTTAAAACTGAAAACTCAAATCGATAAAATGAACGATGCCTACCTGTTACCCCCTTAAATGCCCCTCAACAACTTTGACCGTAGGATTGCTTTTGTGTCATTAAAGCATGCTATGTGAGCGTAATCAACAGTCAGGATCTTGTAGGGGAAATTTCCCACAAAATGGAAGTGGGGGACTATTGAAGACCCCAATATTTTTTCTTTTTTTTTTCCTCCTACCAAACAGTGTAAGTAAGTAAGAAACCTTTCTCAAGAAAAAAAAAAAAAAAAAATCTCTGCTCTCCTCCTCGTCCCTCAAACTCAACTTTCTCATCTTTCGCTCTCCTCCAATGAAAATCTCTCTCATCTCTCTCTTTCATCTTTTATGCTCTTAATTTTATCCATCTATCTCTTTTTATTTGGTTATTTTTACACTTAGCTCCAAGTATATCTCCCGAAAGATTTTTTGTTGTTTCGTGCGTGTACAAAGGTATAATGGTTCAAGGAAGTGGCTAATTCGACTATAAAGAGAGATTTTTTTTCCTGTTGATATCATAGGTCTAACATATTTGTTTCGTTTATTTCACCGATTTAAATTTAGAATTTAAATTTTATTATAATAAAAAATTTTTAGAAACAGTCACAATTAACTTTTTTACTATAATAAAAAACTCTCACATAAAATTACGTCTTAACTCAAATTAAAAATTCGAATCAACGAACTAAACGGGCTAATTATCACGATGAGAGTGAAGTTTTAAAAACAAATGTATGAAGTGGGTTCTTTCACTCTCTCGGGTTTATGTTGTTGGGTTCTTTGCATATATTGCATCACTTTAGTAGGCAAGCTAACATCTTCCTAATTGTGGAGCACTGATAATAATAATTATTATTATTATTTTTTATATTAAAATATTTCATTCGTGAACTGAAACCCAGAAGCAAACCCATAAAAGAGAAGAAAAGAAGAAAGATGTTAGAGAATCCTCTTTACAATTGCTATCCTCATCAGATTCTCCTAAAAACATGGCAGCACCACCATCAGTTTCGCCTACATCCTGGATTCTCTCTCAAGTAGTTATAATAGCTGATTGTATTTTCAAATCAGTGAAAATTATTTTCTTAAGAAAGTGATAAATATGTATTATAAATTCTAAAAAATCTATACTATCATGTTTAGTTGCATATATAAATTCTCTCTCAAATTCTTAAAAATAATATATTATTGTGTTTAATTGTACATAAAATGTTGTGTAGTGACTAAAAAATAAACTATTATATTATTTTTTTTAAAAATTACTATTACTTATTTCAATATTAATAAAATATCAATATTCATATATTTTTTTAAAAATAACTATTCCCATAACATTTAGGGTGCGTTCGTTTGGACTATCCAATTGGAGTTGGCCCAACTCAGAGACATTTTTGGGTGTAATATTACATTCGGTAACCAAACTTCGAATCAAGAACTCGAGTGTGAATTCGAGTTATGAAACATCACCTACCCCTTGAATTCTAATTACTCGAGTATGTCCGCTACAATGCAGATTCTCTGCAGAAGCACGTTTTCACACAGGCGTGGGTTACCGTTGCTTGGATCAAATTCGGTGAATTTTTGGCCTGTGCTGTCGCAACCCATCCCCATTCACCACCCGTGGAAACCAAGACCAGCCAACCCATTCCTTACTCGTTATCCTCCCCTTCGCAGCCATCGCTACCCAAGCCCAATTTCCCACTTCCCTCTGCAGCAGCCCCCTTCGGCAACTGAGCCCCACCGCGCGACAAATCTGTTTGGTGTGATTTTGGGTTTTGCAGTTAAATCGATGGAGTCAGAATCAAAATCGAAATGGGTTTTCACTGATTTTTTGAATGGATGTTGCGTGAGTTGTTGATTTTTTTTCCGGCCTTGGTGGTGTTGCAGAGAGAGAGACTGGGGGGGGGGGGGGGGGGGGGGGGGTGGGGGTGAGAAGCCAGAAATTTCT